TGGAAGAAAATTATCATGTTCTCCTCACAAACTCTTTTAGTGCAGGCCCATTGGTGGCATCTAGCCAGTGTTGGCACATTCAATTGATTATACAGTACAAACTCTAATTAAATGGCAATTTTCCAATCTTAACAATGCAATAGTTTATCTTTTACATGCTTTCTCATAATTAATTTTCTGCTTTCAAGCATCCTTTTTGGAGAGGGCAAAATGCTCATGGCAGTTGAGGTCTGCAAGTGTCCCTGTGGCCCTGGCAGAGAAAGGTGTTAGACACAAGGCTGGGTGCCACAGGAGGTGGCCATCAGCTCCTGAGCCAGCTTCTGACCCCACCTCAGACTCAGGAGAGTGACCAGATATTTAGGACTTTGTACTCAGGTTTTCTTCTCCTCACTGTCCCTTCCACTTCAAACCATTCCATGATTCTCTGTGAAAAAGTGAGGAATTTTTTCAGCTCTTCTGTAAGCTTTTCCTTGGGTTTCCTACAATGCTTTATTTCCCGTAATTTCTAATTTATCCATGTATTTTATGTCTGACTTTAAGTCTGTTTTGTACTTATTATTTACCTACTTTCTTATAGATAAGAGCCTGTCACAGGTTAAATGTTAATGTTGCTAAAAATATAATTTTGTATTGTTTTCTAACTCTCACCTGTGGTGTTTGAAAGAAACTGTTTCACCTGAGACAAAAACTGCAAGGATTATATATTTCTAATGTTAAAATTTTACCAAGGGGACATTTGCCAACAATCATTTTGAACATTAATTCCCAAGCATGGCAGATATTGCCTGAGCACTTGACTTCAGTATAACTAAGCACACAGGCTTCTGTAGTGGCCCATAAGTAAACAGATCATACATTTCATTCTTTGCTGTGCTGAGTGAAGAGACATTAAGCAAAGCTAGAATAGCAACAGGAGGCACACTAGCTGGATAGAGAGGATATCCATAGATATCTAATTAAAATATCTGATTGTAGTTCTAGGTCCTTTGATTATTTACTCTTAAATCTCCCAGCACAATGAAAATTATTCATGCAAAAGACAAATTTCAAATAAGTAAAAAAGCAGCTGCTGTTAAGTAGTTAATCTAGACTTATACTAGCCTTTAAACTCTTTCACAGCTTATCATGAAAGGAACAAAACATTTCATCTTTCAGAGGCAGCAACTGAGACTGTGGTGTTATCTTTCTTACGGTACGGCTTTGAACTGTGACATTTATTCTGACTTTCACCCTCATTCCTATTCCTAGCTTCATGCTGAAAGAGAATTTAATTCGTATTTGCAGATATTCTTTTGTAACTTTTATTCAACCTTTACCTTGAGGCTTTCTTTTTCCCCTTAGGCAAGTTTTTTTTTAAAATTTGATCAATTGAATTTCGTGATCGCTTTTGAAAGTAAAGAACGCGTTATGATAGCTTTATCTCTGCAACAAAGAGTATGTGTTAACAGAAGGGATCCCACTGAGGGAGATTCAAATATTTTAAGACTTGTCAATTTGCCTGATACTGTCTATATGGAATCATTTGAGGACATGAACATCTGAGGTGTTATTCTAGCCCATCTAAATGCAAAGTTTCCTAGCAATTTAAACGCAGCCTGGATTCCGCCCCTTCCTTTTACTTACTGCATTGGAGAGATAACCAAGCAATAAATAAAAATGTGAATAACAATTCCTTTCTTTTTTTTTTCAACATAGTAAGTGAGCGGGGAGTACCAGATGGGGAGCAGAACAGAAATTGGTGGCAAGACAAAACCATTAAGTGGCTGTAAACATGGTCTGATTGACAAACAGAGGTGATTAGAGTTCTCAGACTTCCAAAAGGGGAGCACAACACCATCCATGTGCAACAGGCCTGCAGAGCAAGTCTTTGAACCTCTGCAGAAGAGACATCTCTGAGCAGAAAGAGCACAGCTCAGAAGAGGCTGAATAGGTATATTTTAAAAATGCTACTTTATAAAAAATGAAGTAGCAAGAGAAAAACATAAACCTATTTACCCAGAAGAAACATAAGGGTTTAGATGAAGGGTCATGTCCCCTCAACTCTCCTTTTTCCTAAAGCAGACAGAGCTGTTGCTTCTTCTCTTTGAAGAACCCAATTATTTTCGCCATTTCCCCTTTCCTTCTCTGTCATGTTCCTGATAATTGCTTCCTGTATTTTCACATGAATAGGAGTCTGTGAAAAAGTAAAAACCTTAAGACCTATCATGCTCCTTCTTCTTCCCAAAAGAATGGATTCTTCTGCTCTGCCACTGAAAGAGGAAGTGAAGAAGCCAAAGCAGAAGCAGAGAGCTAAAAAAAGAATGTGGAGATTCCTTGGGTAATGTAGCATTCATAGGCAATTGTTAGGTCCTTACTGACTTGTAGCTGGCTGAACAGTGCAGTGTCTAATGCCTGCATTAAAGTCTCTCCTTTGTTCTAAATAATTCAAAGGTATCAAGCTAAGAAAAAACCCCTACCTATATTTAATGAAAGGAAATTATTTAAGTAATTCCAAGACACAGAACCTGTAAGATTAGACTGAAAATTAAGAAGAATTGATTTTTATTTATTTTGTATTTTCTGAGCTGTCCATTTACTACAATAAATACATCATTAATTTTGAAGCCCCTACTTATCCTACTTTTAAATCTTTCAGGTGAAAAGCACTGGGCCTGTTACTGCTCTGGTTAGTGTTCTGAAGCCTTTTGCTCAGTTTGATGTTTCTGCATTATTCTACTTGGCAAAAGAAAATTATAGAAAAGTAGAAATTTTATTAGAAAAATACTTTTTTTTTTAAGATATGGTTTCTTAAAGTTACTGATTGCTGTGGAGTTTATCTAAAAATGGATGGAAAGTAATATGTTTCAGATAAGGAGCCTTGTTGCATAATCAAGAAAAGAAAAAACTCCACAATCAGCCATGTGCATATTTTAACTTTCTTTCATCTCTGCCGTCTTTTTTGCTAACACAGATTAATCTTCCTTTCCTACCTTCACTGCATCTCTCACACTGATCCTCTGCTCCTTTCTCTTGCACATCCTTGTGAGAGGACACACAGTCCTGGGACAGGCGCCTCTCCCACCACAGGCGTGCACATGGATGGAGGCAAGAACAGACCACGCAAAAGGCTGGGTGTGGAGCAGAGCTCCCAGCTGAGAGACTCTCTCCATGTCAACAGCAGAATTTGTTCTTCAGTGACTATCATTTCAGTCATCTATATAAAAACACATCTAAAAATTACAAGAAACTCTAGTGGTCCTTTTTATATAAAAGGATAAATAGAGCATTTTATTAACACTTTTTTGCAGCAACAAAAGTGACACAGTCCACATCTTTTTCATTAAACACAGCAAAAGCTATGGTCACGTTTTACATCACTTTGAGGCACAAAGCAAAATACTTCTTTTCTTAAGGTCAAGGTATGATTTGCATTAAAAAAAAAGGAGAAAAAACAATCCTCAAGTTGTATATTGCGGTAGCAGGGTTTCCAATCACTAGCACAATACAATGAACAGACCAAGAATCCAGAATGGATTATTACATACAATAATATTCATTTGATTGAATTAAGAAATGGATCATTGTTGTCATTTTAGAGTATTAAGAAGTGGTCTGGTGTTGCTAACTTCAGTTGGTTCAGTTTGGTTCAATCCCAACAACCCCAAGTATATACAACAAGCTAAATGTAGGTTAATATATAATCTAGGAGATTATGCACTTCATAATGCATTGCACTTATTGCTTGGTACACTAATGTTGCAGTCACTGTTGAGTTATGCTAAAAAGACAAGCCTGATGCTTGCTGGCTTCTTTCAACCCAACACTAGTTATTTACCACTTTGGTTTATTGTGAGTTTTTATGTTACTCATATTCAGTGTCCATTATTATTAGGTTTGATTGAAAGACAAATACATCTTTTATTTCAGGGATTTCTAAAATAACACCATTTTCTATAGTTACAGTATCTTCAATAAACATATCTATGTATACAACTGTGGCACAATGTGTAAAAATATGAAAGCTATTAAGGGAAGAATAAGGGTTAAACTATTCTCTGTTTCTTCTATTGGTTTCAAAATATCCTGCAAAACAAATACATCCTTTTTCATAGGGTTATTTGCTCATAGTAAACTTCTCTTTGGAATTTTGTAAAAGACTATATTCTTTTCTATGTTATATTGGGGTATTTTTTCTCTTTCTAAAGACACCAGTACAAATTCAGAATATACTGCAAAGAACAGAATAATAAAGCTTGTTTTTTGATAAAGGGATTTGCCAGGCTGCCTGAAAAGTCAGACTCAATATTTTATATTGTTTTTACATTAGTTGATAAATGCAGGGAAGAACATGACAATATCTATAATTTAATGAGATTCTGTAAATGATAGAAATAAGAATTTGTGCCCAAACATTCAGTATAAAACTCTTAAATAATTCCTTTAATTATCACAGAGTAGCCTGCAGCATGTAATCACGATAAACATACAATATGCCCTATTTGTTCTTTAGGCTTGATGCAATTACCGTGAAGGGAACTGGATCAATCCTTGTAAATGCCTAGGACTCAACCTCTCTTCTTTAAGAAAGTTCTTGTCCCAGACTAAACACACAACTCCTACATTGCACTGAGTAAATGTGTGTCTTCAACACAACCTCAATACAGTGTAACAAATATATAAGTGCATTTTTAATGATCAAGTAATTTGGCTTTCTAAAAAGAGCATTAGATGTGCCAACTTGGTTGCTTAGTTGTGCTTTAATCTGTAATTATGAGTTTTAGCTCTTGTATACTGTAAAGTATCTACTTGCCTCTATAGTTTTGACCAGTAAACCCTTAAAACTCTAATGTTTATAGAACAAATATAACCTAATGAAAGTGATAACATCACAACTCATACAGATTGCACTTTGATGTATTTTTTTACAGTAAGACCTTCCTGTTTGATATGTGTTTACATGTTTATACCACATTTTATTTCTGTGTGCAAACAATCACAATGAATTTAATCACAAACACTACAAAATATACCAAATATTTAGGTTTGTTATGAATAATCTCTTTCCTTGTAGTTGTATGAGTCTTGTACTTCCTCTTGTACAAATTCCTCTTTTTTCTCCCAGCCATTAGGCCAGCCACCATTGACCTGGGTTGTAGCACCATAAGACTTGGTGGTACCATAATTTACATAATTCTGAGTAATGTCCCCTGTCTCCTCAGCAAGTTCATCTTCATGAATAAAGCCACATTTCTCTTCGCTTGTCTGTTCAGGGTCTGCCCAGGGCTGTTTCTCTCCTGAAGCAAATATGCCGTAGAAGATCACACCTCCATAATGAACTAAAGCAGCAATGAGGAAGACATACTGCCATTCTTCACGTGTCTGTAAAGAAGAAATTTGCTAAATCAGAGTAGCACATAGATTTACCTAATTCTTCTGAGCTGCAAGATTTAAATTAGGGATTGAAGCTGTGATAGCACAGCTAAAACATTCAAGTTTTAGAAATATTTCTATCCATCTTCCTTTGAAAAATTTATCAGCCCACAAAAGTATCAACCTAATGAGCATATAGTGAAGCATGCCTCAAATTAGCATCCCTGGATGCAACTCCCAGACTCCAGAATGGATATCCTGGCAAGTCGTATCATAAAAAGGTCTTTCTCTTGAAACCAGTTGTAACAAACTGGAAGATTTGAAAACTGTATTTCCATTTACCTTGTTCTTTGTCATTGCTCCAACAATTATAGGGCAAACCATTCCAGACAAGGTCCCGACTCCATTAGAAATCCCCATTAAAATGCTAGCATACCTCGGGGCAATGTCTAAATGGTTGACATTGAATCCTGCAATAGAAAGGTCAGTGAGCGTTCACACCAAGAGCAGAGCAAGTACTTCAGTTGAGAAAAGTGACATGACATTTTTACTATAACATATTTGGGCTGCTTAATTGCATTTCTTTATCCCTAAAAGACTTACAATGCTTAAATATTCCTAGAGAGACTCTGGGTTTTCATTTTCTTTTAAGAAAATATTTTAAACGGATACAAGGTTAATTTTCTCCCAAAACTGCAGCTTAAGAAAACCCCAAAACCTCCCAGCAATGTCTGTGTGGAATAGACAACCCAGATAATATTTAGGCAGGGAAATAATCTGTATTTTATAGTGCCTTCCATGATCACTTCATGCTGTAAATAACACATCTTTTCTTCTTCCAGTATGTAACATGTTCTTTTCCTATTGCCCACATTTTTCTTTTTGTCACGCAGAAAGGAGCTCTTTTCTATTCTTCAGTGTTAAATTGGAGAAAAAAACAGTGTCTGTAATTGAATTAATGATTAATTTTGAAAGGTATTTACTTGTTCTCTTGGATTTTCAACAGGACAATTCTGTTGAAAATGTATGCAGTAACAATTCAAATAATTTAAAGATACAGAACTAATTGTTCCCAAAATAAGTACTTAAATAAGTGAAAACAGAGACCAAACCTTTGGATACAGATAGTATAATGGAAAGGGCAGGCAGCTTGGGGAAAATGCAATACACTTCCCAAATTGTACAAAACAAGAATGATACCTTGCAGAATGCATGACATTAAGGACAGATTTGATTAGAGGAGATTTGAGATGTTTGGCACAAGATGAAAGAGAACCTGTTTGAGACATAAGGAACCAGCATGGGAGAGGATACTAAAATCACAGTGGGAAAACAAGGGGAGGTCAGCTGACTTGTGTTTGGGAAGGGGAAAGGCAAAGGGTTGATGAGTCAGCAGGAAAGGGGAGTAGCTGACCTTTAATTCAGAAAAGAAATTATAGTAATTAGACCCCGAAATAATACAATACTAAGAGGCCCCAAATTAATAAAATAATACAATATTAACAAAGCAATAGCCAGTACACAGTGGAAAAAAATAAAATACTTCTATTTAAACAAAGATGTGTAAATTTAGATATCATTATGTAATACCAGTCCATTTGTCTTCTATGTTTGATATCAAGAAAAATCTGTAGTGTACATTAGCATCTAAATGAGAAGAGAGTCTAATCTGCTGCAATGAACATGAAAAAGATTGTATTATTTCAACAGAAATAATGTAATATAAAAGCTGTAATACCAAATGTATATTCCTTTATAATGATCACAAATAAGGTCCTTTAGGAATTCCAGAGTGAGTGGGCTTTTTAATTACTATTCATGAATAAAACCAAAGATAGAAGTTTTGTCTCTTAAGATAAAATAGTTTAGTGTTAATAACAATATAATCTTACCAGATATGGCAAATCCACTAAAGCCTACAGCAAGCACTAAGAATGAAATAGCCACTCCTTTGCTGTGTGAATATCCCACCACGAGAAGAAGAGTTGCTTCCATACCAAAACCTGGTGAAATAATAAATAAAACCAGACACTGAATTAATAAATTCCCTCTCAAATACTGCAGGCCTCAGGATGCCATGATATTTCATAGGAACACAAATAAAGCATTACCTCAGAGTGGGATACAATCAGGTATTTCCTTCATCTCTTAAAAACACAGGTCCTTCCTTTCTCAAATAGTACTTATTGAACTCTTTATATGCTAATTTATTGCCACTTTCTGTCATTTGTAAGATAAAAATCAATACCTGTGATGTGGTTAGGTCATTCCAGTCAACTCTCATGGGTAACCTGCTTGTGAATTTTCCAGCCCTTACAACAGCTGATGTGGCTTCAACACCTCAGAAGTCAAGGATGAATCTCAGGTAGTTATCTGGGCTCTCTTAGTGCAGAGCGTGTTTAGATGAGGAGCTAAGGCTGAGTCAGTAGCTCAGAGTAGGCAAATTCCCCTCCAAAACCTCACCTACTTCTTTAATAGTCTAAATGGTTTTCCAAATACCAAATAACTGTATGGAACTGGCAAACGAGAGCACCTGTGTTTTCTTTTATTTAGTAACTAGATCTGCATTGCATAAAAAATGCAGCGAGTATTGCCTCCTAAGAACATACAACTGTGCAGTTTGTTTCTTCATTCTACACAGAACACAATATGAACATCAAATCCCTTCAAGAAACCTTTAAATAAAATAGAAACACTTACCTCCACAGTTCATTATCTTTCTCACATTAGTCGTTGAAACAATCTGCCTGCTTCTTAAAAAGTCAGCAATTTGTCCCCCAATAGGAACAATAATTGTCATCACTAAATGCGGCACAGCAGATAAGATACCCACCTAAAATTAAAATTAGAATTAGCAAAGTATAAACCATAAGAAAATTTTGATTCTTCATTTTCTGAAGCATTCGGCAGCTAATTAATTATTTCTTTTCAATGTCCCACTCTGTGTTAAAATTTAAAGTCTTGGGTAATGAAACGAACAAAACTAGTGATCTGAAGTTTTTATTTTATTTTATTTTATGAAGTACAGTGAGAATTTTCAAGAACCTCTGATGCCATGACACTTTTTGTTTATAGATTGTTTTCACAGTTTATATTTAAGCTAACGCTTTTACCCCCTCACTTATAGCCCCTGTGGCAGAAGGTTCAGAAAATTCACGATGAAATGTGTAAAACTGAATTGCTGCATTTCTTTCGGTGTTTAGTGCAGCTTTGCAGAAATCCTCACATGCCTAGACAGATTCCCTGTGGATCATCATCACTTGCACAGTGGCCATTTGTCTTTGATTTCTGACCAAGCTGCAAAGTGTATGTGGGCAAAAGATATGTCTGAAAAGCTTTGTATGTAGGGAAAGATAAAATACTGAATATCCACTGGTGATATCCAAAGTGCTATGCATACATGGCAAAATAAGACGTAGTACTTTTGTGATGACTGTTCCAATAGATTATATTGTGTGTTCACATTTACCTCACAGGTCTGATCCAAACTTCATATGAATCTCATGGATCATATGTGATATCAGATATCAGATCACCCCCATATCTCATATTTTGCCACTGTCTTTTCTCCTTTCTAAATGAGAAAGGGGGAGCAGTTCTCACCACATTAAAGGTGCATATAGAAAGGTGACAAATTATACTATCCTTCCCAGAACAAGATGGCCCTGCTTTTTAAAAGACACCTGGAAAAATACATTTGTCAATGCTTTCTATAAGCTTTGGGGGGTTTCTGCAGCCCCTGGGGCATCAGGAACAGAGTGTAATGGGTCTGCTGGCACCTTCCTAATACCAAGCATGATCTGGTTTTGAGCACTTAACTTGCAATGTAGGCCCAAGTAAATCATCACTAAATCTCAGCCTGCCTCCACCTTTCCCTATCCCATCCTTTGTCATAGTTGTTACTTCACTTATTCTTGCTGGTCAAGGAAACAGGAACTGGGATGAGTAAGATTTAAGATGTAAATCCATGATAAAGATGTGTAACACTGTCTTATTCTTAATAAATACTACAGATATAGCTCTGATACTTACTGAGTTAAGATAAAATCTTCACATTCTTTTTACATACCTTGCTTATTTCAAATCCAAACACTTCCTCAAAGTAAGCAGGCTGACTAATTAGCAGCAAGTAAAAAGTCCAGCTTCTACAGAAGTTTGCAACTATTATTGCATAGACTGGCATAGATGTAAAAAATTTTCTCCATGGTGTTTTGTATTTCTGAAACATAGAAAGGGGATCCAGTTACCATGTTGATCATTATCAACTATCCATCTTCCCTTTCCTTACCCTTTTTTTTAGCTGTGGTCCAGCAAGCACATATATGCACAGCATATAAATGTTACTACAAAATGCACAAATGAAGAAACTCAGTGATTGTATCACAGCATTCATGTACAAGTGCTTATATCTCAGTCATATAAATATGTACATGGACATAAAACCAAAATAATAATATCTTTAAATAATAATGTCTTTCAAAGACAATGCTGCTGTATTTAAGGAAACAGATTTGACACTAACTACATGATTTCTTTCAGATTTACTGCAAATAGGTATTTTAGCATCTAAATCTTAATTGCAGTATTCTACCTTTTTTCTTATGAAGTCTCAGCTGAAACTGCTTGGTCAATATATTTTTCATTTGTTTTATTGTATTTTTAAAATAAATTGCAGAAAGAAAAAAAGAAGGACAGATGGACAACCCTGCTGAGTCCCAGCACCTGTCCACAAGCTCAGGCTTCCACCCATCTGTGTTGATGCAAACACAGGATCCATACCCAGATAAGTGTTTGAAAATCACTTCAGCAAGAATTCAGGCTGAATTCAGTCTACTATTGATTTGAATACTGGCTTTTCTTCAAAGAAAATCCAGCCCACAGACAGATATGTGCAACACCTTGTATAGCTATTAAATTACACTTAAGTGACAGGTAAGGATTAAGTGACTTAATCAACGGGAAGCCAGCCAGAAAATCTAACTTGATGGTATGGGAAGAATTTCAGCTTAAATATTTTAGAAGCAACTGAATTATTGATACAAGATAATCACTCTGAAAAAAAAAAAAAAAGTTAAATTAAAAAGCCACAGTAAAAAATAGACAGAAATTGTCCAGTCCAAATTAGAATTGTACGGACATCCTTCAAAGTAACTCATTTCACATCAGATTTTCAAAACCATGAACCCTACTGAATGCTGTTGAATATCAACTGAGACAGGCCCTCAGTATACCTAAAATATCAGCTGTCAAAAATTACTCTGTAATATTTTCAGTTCCTTATTTAATACTAAAAAAAGTTTTTACTAAGTCAAAAATTGTGAATTCCTGAGTTCAATCAAGAACCCGTGTTCTGACCAAACATAATGAAAACCTAATGAGGGTCTACTAGGAATGGATGGTGTAAAAATTTAAGCAGATGAAGTGAGGCCTAAACAATTTTTTTTTTTTATTTTCCTGACTGAGTGAACAAACATGGCAATATTTTCTTTAAAACTTTTCAGCAGTTACAGAAATAAGATGATTATTAGTTAGCACGATTGGAGTGCTAAGTGTCTGGAAAATTCAGAGTTCATACATGGTTTTTAGGTCATATATGGCTCTTGAGAACTAAACCAGTACAGAACTAAGATTATGAGAGGCTTGATAACGTGTCTCCAGCAAAATGACTGCAATAATGGGAAATGTTCTTATGGATCTCAAAGCTCTATTGCAACTTGCAGTCTTCCTGGAAGACAATACATAAAATAATAAGGATGGGCATTTTCTGATGTTCTGTGGACCTCAAGAGACACAGAGTAGTGCTTTTCCTGAAGTTTGCTTTTAGGAAGAAGAAAACCTTCCAGAAATTACTATATAGGAAGGAAACTGACTTTTTCAGCTCAAGATATAAGAAAAATCTAAATAAAGTTGCAGTATCAAATGTATCTGTACCTCTTTTTTATAAAAAGAGGCACAAATTCCATGAGTCATCTGCTAGAAAAACTGGACCCTGTGTTCTCTTAGTGCAAAAGCAGTATCCACCCAGACATCCACCAGCAGATTTAAGATCTTCCCATCCCCCAGGAACACATCTGTTCAAATTGTTCAAAATACACTTTTCGATCTTAAGGAGAGTGTTTGACTTTTTTGTTGTTGTCTTTATTTGGTTGCTGGGATGTTTATTTTTCTTACTGTCTCATTGGAAACCAGTGTGTGGGTAATATTCTTACTTCCATTGCACCTAGGAGGTTGGCACTCTCTCCAATGCTTTCTTCTATGTACCTCCTTTCTTCATCTGTGATTGTAGGATGCTTTGCAGGACTCTCATATGAAACCAAAAGCCAAAACATGTACCAGACTATACCAAAGCTCCCTTTGGAATGGAAAGAAAGACTTTAAAAAGAAATACACAGTAAAGCAGCAAACAAGAAAGAAAAATCTGTGAAGAATTACAACAAATTTAAATGGCAATTGTTGTCTGTGCTTCTTTACTGAGTTCTCTCAGCAGAGATAACTCTCCAACAGAGAGTTTGGTCCTGTGAATAATACTTGTGCAAAACACATGCAGAACTACAGCACAGAGAAGTAGTCTTTGCTTTGTTTTATAGAATTATTTCACTGTAAGTGAATATTCACTGATCTTAACATCAATTTGTACAATGCAAAGCAATGAAACAGCTTCCATTTCATTTCACCAAACTGTAAATGAAGGCCCATTCGGCTTTAAGATGCCGCTGTTTGATTACTGAACTAAATTTTTTACCTGCAGAACAGAAAACTCTGGCAACTTTTTCAACACAGCAATGCACTTCCTGAGTAGTTTATTAAATTTCTATAATGCTTCCACTTAATTCACATAAATGCAGAATGAATTCCCTTGAGGCATTCTTTTCTGTCAGTGTAGGTTAACACAACTGGTGTGAATAAATGTAGGTCTTCAGATAAAAACCAGGACAACTTATTCAGGGCAGATACTCTAAATTTGCAGCTTTATCAGTGTGAGAGATGTTAATGTGAGCAGAGATACTATAGATCTGCCCAGAAGTGTGCACTGCTTGTGCTAAAGGTAATGGAAGGTTTCAATGTGAGCTAGCTTTTCTTATTTTATTATCTTGCTTTCTTACATATCCTTCTCTTTAAATTCTGTTCTCTCATGTTCTTTTCTCTAGACTGTATTTTTAGATTAGAAGTCCCACTTCTCTGGGGTTTTTGTCCTCTTAACAGTAGCTTTTACATTTTTAGAAAGGGTAGAGGAAGGTCATACACTACTGGAGTGAAATGAGCAGAAATGCATACCATACACATAGAACACAGAAGACCACCCAGTGTATTGCACTAGAATCCCAGCTAAAGGCATTGCAATGACAGCTCCTGCATAGGAACCTACAAAACAAGACATGGGGATGAACCGGCAGAAAGAAAAAATCAGTTTCAAAACACTCATGCATTACAAATAGAAGGAAGAGAAAAATACAAAGTTACTTACCACAAAAGGAAGTGGTTGCTAACCTACTTCTTTCTAATGGGGGGGCCCACTTGCTCCAAATACCGTGGCAGGCAGGGTAGGTGACCCCCTGGGGAATGGGTGTGCCACAAGTTAGCTAAAGCTGGTCAGTCACTCAGTTAATCGTCTTTGCATGAGTTTTTATCTTTAATTGCTATAAACAAGAGGTTGAGAATGCTTTGCACCTTTGTAGCAAAATCTGAGCAGAGCCACAGAAAAACGTCAATATCTGTTCAAGCTGAAATGGGTTTTGCAAATCACTTCAAATCACGAAAGAGACCATATGAAACAAATAAAAAACATGTTTCCTTTTCCCTCCCCCTTCCAGGAAAGAATAACAGATAATTAAAGAATATTAGTGCACAAGAACCAGAGTCAAAGGAAAGATGACAACACAGATCCTCTGAAGTCCTTCTAATGCAGGACCAATTTATCCAACCCTTATTTTTTTTTACCTAACATTTAAAGCAAAATTTAGGAAATACAGATTAAGGTGCCACTGCTCTAAAACTAGAAAATAAGATCTATAACGGTTTAGAAATATACTTTGAAGAGTTTTCACTCTGTCTTCAATGAACCTACTTGAGCATGTAAAGTAAGTATTTGAATGATATTATTTGACTTCATTTTAAACCAGCTACCTTTTAGGTCTCTCTTCAAAACGAGCCTTTAACTTAGCAATAATAAAATTAAACATGCAGTGTTGAAATTTTAAAAGAAGTTATATGAAATGTACAATAATTCCTGATTAAGGTGTACAAATGTACACAAATTTGTGATTAAAGATTATGGTATATGCATATACACCATACAGATATTTTATATAGGTCATATAAAATAACCTATATAAAGGTTATATAAAAAGGGAAGGGAAGGGAAGAGGAAAGGAAAGGAAAGGAAAGGAAAGGAAAGGAAAGGAAAGGAAAGGAAAGGAAAGGAAAGGAAAGGAAAGGAAAGGAAAGGAAAGGAAAGGAAAGGAAAGGAAAGGAGGGAGGAGAGGAGAGGAGAGGAGAGGAGAGGGAAAAGGGAAAGGGAAAGGGAAAGGGGAAAGGCTCAATTATTTTTTTCCTAATTTAAATTACGGTAAAATTCTTTTCCATTCCAACTAAAGCATGTCATGGTCAGGACTTAAGACATAACCTTAGGTTTTTGTTATATATTTATCCTGTGATGCTGACCAACAAGTAACTGTTGAGAATTATACCAGTATAAGCCTTATGCAGTATAGGAGTTTAGTGAAACATCAGTGCTAATGCATATCTCATTGGCTTCTCATTTTGCCATGACATTTTATAGCTGAAGGAAAATCAAATAGCAATAATTTATACATTGAAAGCATTTATACTCAAAATCAGTAATAAATTTAAAACCATTTCTATCTTCCTTCCAAAGCTACAGTTGTTAGCTAAAGGCTAACAAATACCTATTACATTTACTAGTTGATTTACAATTTTCCATACCTCTACAAGGCCCTGCAAGATCCTAACGAAGATGACACATCCATAGTGCACCCTGGCTGCAGATGGTATTAGCATGTTGAGGGAAGATGTCAGCAGTATAGCAGCACCAAATACTCTGCAAAGGCAGCAAAAAGGGGAAAGTAAGAGACTTCAGTGCTCCCCCAAGTGACTTATTCTACATATGCTCATATATCAATATAAATGTTCCCTGCGTGTGCTCTTTATATGGGGAATGTACTGACTGCACTGGATAAGTGTCTACTTCCATCTAGTGTAATAATCTGTCTGGTAAGACCCACACCAGACATGGATGTGTTTATCTATTTAGCATAATTTCCTAAGGAAATATATCTTATGCAATCACATGTATAGATATCAATTTCCCTATAAACACCCACTTTAATTTTCACACTAATTTCAACCAAATCTGATTGAATTCTCCACCCTCTGGAGACAAAACCAGAATTTGTCTCCAAAGGGTGTGCTAAAACAGATGATCAGTAAAAGAGTTTCTCATGTGCTTTAATTGCAAGAAAGTGACACCATACATTTACTCCTTATAAAGCAGAAGAGAATTCACTTTCATACAGGCCGAAAGCATTGGGAAGAATTTTAGAGCTGGGATTTTCCTAGACACAAGAGATAATCAATCTGGAAACACATATCTGTAGAAACCAGGTAATTCTTACTACTGCTTTTTCAGGGGCTACTCACTGAAAATTGCTCATTTTGATTCCACAGCATCCTAATTTGAAATAAAGCACATTACAAAGTCTAAATAAATGCATGAAGTGGTAATTCATTTTCAATTCCACTGATTTTACTGAATTTTTACTTGATTCGACTAATATCCACCTCTTGTAGGAGGAAACCTTTTCCCAGCATTATTGTGTCTCTTGTTTTTCTCAAGCTATATAATGCAAATATAAATCTGATGGCATATGACATCACAGTATCTGATGTGGAACTGATTTGACAGAAACCTTTGACCTTCACTTGTGTTCTTCAGAAATTGGTACAGTGCCAGAAGTCATTGAGAAACAGACCTTGGGCTAAAGATGCAGGATGAAAACTCCCCTCAAAGACACAATATTACACATTCTGTATTTAGAATCACAGTCTGAAACAAATCTTGAAATAGCAAACTGAGTATATGCCACTTTTATTTGACACATTTTAAAGAGCATGGTAAGGAATCTTTGCTAAAGTGCCCTAAATCTCATCTCCTAATTGTGCTCCCTTTGATGTCTATATCAAGTTAAACAATATTTAGCTGTCTGTACACCATATTTCTGGCTTTGCTTGTCAGCATGTTCAATACATTTGCTGGGACTGTCTGGGCACGTGATTGTGTTGCACTGTGAGGACTATTTTGACCTAAATTGTCTTCTACTCTTGATTTCTTAATGTGTAAGTTTCTACTCCGAAGCTACATGCACTTCATTTCCTTACAATTTAATAGCTCCTTATGCTCACATAAACTCCAGTGGTGTCTTGTTCTGTAAAAATCATGTGAAGATAGAATATTAAAAACTGCCACCTCTTTATAAGGCTAAGATTTACAAAATTGTTGCAGTAGGTAACTGATTCTTCAAGGGAAGTTTTTTGACCCTGTATCTGAAATCAGCTTCTATTTGCCCACAACTGAAAGCTATGTTTGCCTCTGTTCCCATGTTTACTGAAGAGAAGCTGTTTCCTTGAGTCTATTCCTTCTAGAAGACAAAGGAAAATGTAACTGAAGGAATGATCAGAGACATGCTTCTTCCAGATTAAAATCTTGCCTGTGTTTAGACACACAAGTACTAGTGAACATTCAGTTACACCAGGGTGTAGACGATGAAATAATTCCGCAGCGTCACTGCGCTGAATTCTCTCTGAATTGACTCACAAGTCAATTGTGAGTCAATGCTTTATAAGAATGATTTCCTCCCTCTCCCCAAAAACCTAAGGATTTAAAAGTAGAACAAGTTAAATTTTTATTATTGCAAGAAATGGCTTTTTTAATGCTTTTTATGAGTCCCTATTAAAAGTGATGTCATACATGGCTATTTCAGTGAGTCCGTTTCCTCTATAACTCTTAATCAAGGGCAAATAAATCTTCCTATATTTGCATTGTAACTCTCAGTGCACAATCATAAATATCGTAAGAATTTCTCTTTTGGGCTCTTTAATCTTCTTAGGTTTATTTCCATAAATACTAAATTCTACCTTAAAAATATTGTGATATAGTGCTGTTTTTTGTAAAACCTTACTGTTTTATTGCTTTAAATATCTCACTTAGCAGTATTTATTATTATTTATATCAAGTAAAAATGATTTTGAGTTACAGTCAATCAAAATATATTGGAATGCAGCTCACATTTGAATATATTTAGTTAGGAAATGGAGCATTCTGATTGTTCCTAGGGCATTTCTACACTATTTTGCTGACTCACACATCAAACCCTCAAATTATGTAATCCTTTTTTTTTCTGCTTGCATTTTTTTTCTGTCTATTAAGCTAGTGATTTATGATCCTTTATGTTTAATTTCTGCACCTCGCTCAATTTTTCTACAATGTTAACCCCAGCAAAGGGTTAGATTTCTTATGTTGTCATGGCAAATCACATGTGTGTGTGCTTCCATTGTCATATGCACTGATGGTTAATGTTCATTCTCAGACAGATTTAGGTCCCTGCAAAACACAGTTTCCAGCTTGCTTAGGAGTGTTCGTTCCTCCGCACACCCCACTGCACTTTTGTGCGAGCTCCAGTTTGCCCTCTGGATGTTCTGATGTCACACTGAGTGGAGAGCTCTGGCCCTTATTGGACACACATATTTAAAGCTGCTACACCCTGTGGTACCTCTCTTCAGTTGTGTTTCCAAAGCTGGGCTCTGGAGTGAGCCAAGCCTTGCTGCAGTGTCCCTTGGGCTGAGCTCAGCCCTGGAAATCCATGCGGCTGCACTTCCATGCAGAGGTATCCTTGAAAATCCATTTCATTCTGGGCGCACTCCAAACCCCATGAAAGGTTTTAAAGCCATGGCACAAGGTAAGAGCTTTAGCAGATTGAAGGTAAACTCTGGGAAAACTGAGTTATATCACAGAGATAAAGCAGGCAAGACCAATGACACTGCCATCATTCCTGGCCCTTGCATTAGGCTGGAATTAAAATGTCATGACATGTCTTCAGCAGCCCCTAGCCTTGCAAAAAATTCCTTTCTGAGTCAAAATCATCAACTGTGCAACGATATCTGGAAGAAAATAAACATATACAGAAGAAGACAATAAATACAGTAGTATTATGTCAAGGAGAGGGGGAAAACCCCAATAAATTCTAGTCCTCATAAGCGACCAGAAGCAGTCCTGAAACAAAAAATTATGCTTTACTTATCTATTTCTACTTCTAGACTGAGTAGATGCAGTCCCAAAAATCAGAATCTAACATTCATCTTCAGTGTTTTGCTTACACTGGCCTCAAAGGTCATGAACTGTGACTTAATCCTCCTGTAATATAAGTAGTAATAATAGCAAAATCATATTTTAATGTGAGACATTTGGGATGGGAGAAGAGAAAGAAAATTACTTCGACAGCACAGGAGAAGTGCTTAGAATGGAATGAGGTTGCAAGGGGAATTAATCTGTTTGGGTTCCAAGTCAAACAGATTTGGCTCATTTTTCTCTTTTAAGCAAAAGAAAAATAAGTATATTTATAGATCTCTAATCTCTGCATCTGTGCAGCAGCACTATTTCCATCTACCTTTGTCAGGCAATCCACGTTACATGAGCATTCTGCAGTGTGTTACAGATATTGTTACACAGCTGGAAGCAGAGTCAGCTCAAAAAGTGAGCTGAGCACAAGGCACTTCAAGTGCTGAGTGCCAGACAGATGGATGCCCTATCAAGTTACATACAGGATATCTGCAAGTAAGGCATCTCATTAGAGCATCCCTTTACCCCAGTGACTGGGAATCAAAATTGCTGCAAAGAATTCATAAAACTAAAGGCCCTTTTAGATGTGTATGTTGTGGAATCAATTCCTCATCTGAGCCTCCTGTATTTTTATTTATGTTAATTTTCAATATATTTGATAAATTCAATATATTTGATAAATTCCACAATTATCGATGTCTCTATTCTCTTCATAAGCAAAGTCACCTTGAGAAAATGAAACTTATAGATATTGAATGAGTCTTTTCTAAAGCATATGGAGTACCTTAACTAAATTTGTCCTTTTAAAAAGATTGAAAAGTAACTCTGTATATTTGAAACAAATTTTTAAACATTTATTTAAACAAGGAAATGCTGTAGTTTTAAGATGTGTAAATATATGCTGTATCAGTGAATTATTAACATAATTTAATTAAAATTCAAAATAATTAAAGAACGGTAAGTCTTGGTCACTTACAACTACAAAACACTATTTAAACAAACTTGCATTGAAAAATACAAAAGTATAGAAAGTATTGAATGGCTTCCATTGCAAATTGATTCAGGACTGCAACTGAGTAGTTTCCCCCTCCAAAGTGCCACTGATCATCATTTCATGAAAGATCTATCTACTGAATAGGAACATTGGATTATTTTGTTAGTTTTCTAGGGAATCACAGTGTGGGGGTGGGTGTGTGGGGATGTGTGTGAAAGCATTTTGCACCACTACAATAAACTAAATTCAAAATATTATAAATTGGTTTATTCTGACTGTAAACAGAAACCTATGGAAAATGTAATCCATGTTCTTTTCTGAAAAAGAAAAACCTCTGATTTGACAGTTTCACATGAATATAGATCATATTCTAGAGAACATTATTTTCACTGGATGAAGTATGTGTATTGATCAAATGCTTGATCTGTAAACAGCGATAAAATGTTTTCCCTAGTCATAGTTACAAATTCGTTAGGTAAATTTGTTAGGTAAATAGGGTGGAAAATAAAGAGGATTGAAAACATGAGCTTTTCTAGTTTAAAGATTAGATGAAAAAAACCCTGCCATTATAAAAAAAAAAAATGAAATTTATTTGTATTCAAGTTGGTGAGTTGGCTTGCCATTTTCTTTACAGAAATCACATGAAATATGTTGAACAAAGACTTATTTTATGAAACATATATAAAATGTTAAGCTGGGTTTTGACTCTCCT